TCTGTATCGTTCAATTTTAAAATCATGCTACATTCCCACTCCACACTCACACAGAGAAGAAAAAATAAGCATAATACAGGATTTCATAACTAGTTAATGCAATGTAAACTGTTATTACATTGTAAAATATCACTTTGTCACTAAGAAATACTGGTCTACCATTTTATTCAAATTTATTTGAAAAAATAATTAGATTTTACTGTTTGATTTCTATTTGCAATCATAAAGATTGAATTAAGTGGTAGTTTTGTTAATTGTGCACTTTTGATTAAAAAATTCAAAACATTTCAGTTCTGATTAATTTCATATGAATGAGTCATGGATGTGATTTTGGTGAAAGCTGTGAGATCCATTGGGTTCAGTTCGGTTATAAGTTTGTTTGTATCAGAGTTGTACTAGTAAATGCAGTACAATGTGTAGACATAAACTCGAAAGCAACTTGCCTCTAGATGGAATCTGAGATTTCAAATATCAAAATTAATTATTGGTGAAAATTTACATCTCAACTAGTCTACATTGGGAAAAAATTAATGTCAATTAATGAATAACCATAGTTGTCCTGTAATAAGCCCAGTGTGCCAAAATTTAAAGACAGAGGATTGACTTATACAGGACAATTATATAGATTTGGTTCATAATTTCCCAGACCAGCAAATGTATACGGTATAGGTGGGCTTCATATTATGCATAGCTTTATTGCTGAATAATTATGGTATGTCGTTTAATCTGACAATGTTCTCACTTTGGACTTCTACAGGTCTATAAACTATGAGGTTTCTCAAATTACACAGAGGGGAGGTGTGGTATAAAGTTTTCCCCTTTTGAATGGATCATTGGTAACTGAATAAATGTTGTTTTTGTTTAAACTGACAGCAATTTGAAAGACGTTATTATCCTGCAGAAACAAAAACTTGGCCTCTCCGAAACAAAAGCTGACTCTTCAGCAGAAAGGCCTGACAGAGCATGGATTCCAGTGTAAACCTGTTCCCCATCCCGAACCAGTGAACCACCTGTATAATGTCGACTTTTCCTTTCTGTGTCTGTAATTTGAGTATATTCACTGGTAACATATACCTAGCACAGGTGTTGTCCTCACAGATTTTACAAACATCATTTGGTAATTTACGCGACACCATTGACACGCGAGGAGTTGGATGGTTGTTAGTCCAGTGACAGGGAATTGTGGGGCATCAACGTGTCCTAATGAGGCAGTAGGCTTCATTTTGTATGGAGGGATCAGTTAACACCAAATAAGGAGGGGGGGGGTGGGTGGGGGGGATGTGTGGCTGATTTTCAACATGCTTTCATTTTCAGAGTAAATTGCAGCTCTTACATGGACCAATATGAGAAAACTGCAAGATAACGAAGTGTTCAGTTTTATTGAATTAGAATGTTTTGTGTTATAGACAGGGATCAGAATGCTTCATATTAAATGGGGTCGTTATGTTGTAGAGTTTAAGATAACAAAGTTTGACTGTACTAGAATTAATGGTATAAGATTTGTTATGATCTTGTCAAAGTTGAGAAGGAGTTACTGAAGTTTTTGTGGACGATTAAGCTTATTGAGATATTGTTGCCTTAAGGACAATACAACAACAAAGACATTTAAGTGATTTGAAATAAACTGTAGATGATTATTGTACGTAGTGTATAATTATTCCTGGTGGTGAAGATTTACAAACTCTGAAATCTGGAATGTCAAGGAATCTTTAACCAAGTGTATCTGTTAACATGAAAATAAGCTTTGGACCAAGTAATCATTTTAGCGATTTTAGATTTATGAACCCTAAAGATCTTTGACTAATGGGTAGTTTCTGGGACTCTCAGCAGGAAGAAAGACAATCAGTTAACGAGAATTATAGGGTAATAAGTTGTTCACTGTCAGGTAGGTCAATACAGGTAAGGAGTTTGTAAGGGACATTGTGTCCACTAAAGGTGTGGACAAACCCTGTAATTGTACAAGACTTCACACTTGATCAGTAGTCATATGGTGGATAGTTGGGCAGAAACTCGTGACAATGCTACCGTATTTATCTGAACACTTGGGAGATGGAGACCGTCTCTCTATATCAGCCCAGTTAAATGGTGCAGAAACAACTTCAAGTCTATCTGTGAGATCTGAAATATGGACGACTTGGACAGAGTAATTATACACATAAGGACGTCGAGTAGCCGATGTCATTATAAAATCGAAACGCTCACTCACCATGCTGGTTTAAACGCATACTGGAGATTTTTTTTTATGCATGCTGGAGATTTTTTTTACAAGTCTCGAGGGTATTTATCTGATCATCGGAATAAACACTGAAAAACAGATCAGAAGTCTTTTGAATTTTAAACCTATACAAATGTGATTTGTTTTATGACTTCCAGTATAATTTTACTAATTTTTTGCTTACCACCATCTCTGTTGTTTTAAATGTTTTGGCCAAAAATAATTCTCATGCCGCACATTTTTTGTCACGCATTGCATGAAAAAGCGGCATAAATTGCTTGGTAAACAGATTTTATCCTGAATCATCAAAAACTGCAATCGAGTAGAGGGATAAGGATATATAATACTCTATTAAAATCTTGGCCAAAACTTTGATAATAAAATTTTATATACGCATCTTCCTTTGGATCTAATGCTGGGAAGTGTTTTTACTGCTTTTTGATTTAAAGTTTTTAGATATACATAAAATTAAATTTTAACATTCTTAAATAAATATAAACATTTATTTACAGGTTTGCCTCCAACTTATTTAGTTTGTACTATCAGTTGCCATTTCTTTACCATATATATCCAGTTATCAGCTCATTCTTCAGCTGTTTTAGTCGAGTAACTAAAAAAAGATATATCACGATCCTGTAATAAGCCCACCTTGTGACTTTGAATTGCAGAAAATATTTTCAGCCCCTGGGTTTGTTTTAGTTTAAGTACGTTACCCGTTTTATTTGATAACCAATTTGTTACCTTCTTCACCACAGGAGTCAAATTCCCAAGCCATCTGTCTATAGCACCAATCATATTTCATTATCAATTTTTGTTTGTTTTTGGACACAATTTTGGCAAGTTATTTACCGCTTCATTTGAAATACGACGAGATGAATTTTTACCTTTTATTTATTGTTTCGAACTTAGACATAATGTCTTCAGCTATAAGTGGTCAAGTACATGTTTTTTGTTAAAACTTTAAAAGAAAATTATTTTTAATTTTCTTTCATTGGCAAAATTTTAAAAATTTAAACACCATTTTGGCATTTTGATTTAATAGAAATTGTGATAACAAGATTTTTAACAACCAAATATAGGTCCTTATAACTGGCTTTTCTATCTCATAAATCATACATGTGTTATAATATTTTGGCTGGATTCTTCAAGCACTATAAATAATATATTACTGCATATTTGTAGACATGGCATGTTTATCATGTAATTCAATTTTGAAAAAATTGTAAATTATTTGTGCTACTGTTGTTAAAGTACACCTGAGAAAGAACACTCCCGAGACTTGCAGATTCAAGTACTTGCACATGTAGAAAAAGATTGCAAATAAAGAATTTTTCAATGTATTTCATTATATTTATGTTATACTGAATTATAAAAAATTGACATGCTTTTTTTACAAGTACATGTACAAACAGCAATCAACCACCAGCTGACTCAAATATTTTACATCTGTGCTTAATTTTAGAAATGTGATTCTATCAATGCACTACAGAAACTAGGGTTATGTTCATTTAGAGCTTGGAATTTTTGAGTTGACTCAAACTATTCTACTCTCTGAATTTAAGGTTAATTTTTTAGTTGACTCAAACATATATACAAAATGTGAGTTTTCCTTTGATTTTTAAACTGATTCAAACTTACAGGTATAAGTACATTTTGAGTTTGGGACTAAATTTTGAGTTGACTCAAGTACGTTTTCACTTTGAGGTGCAGGATATTTTTCGAATTGGCTCAAATACATGTACATATTGATTTTGGGAATAATTTTTTAGTTGACTCAGACATATGTATGCTTTTAACTTGGGGTTAAAGTTTGACTTGACACCAATATAACAGAAAGTCTGGGGTCAATTATCATTAAAAAGATATTTTTACATTTATAACAATAAACATTCCATCAAGTTTATGTTTGCTTTTATACTACATGAAAAAATAATTGAAATTGCCTTGTACCTCCCAGGAAGTTTCTTTAAAACACAAATTATAAAGTGTTTCTGCAGAGTGTAAACATTAAACTTGAACAAACTCATGAATATTGCCCTTAATTAACGCAGAAAGTCATCCTAGATACCTGTAAATGATATTTTTCTTATGATGAGTTATTACAGCATATAAGATGACAAATTTCAGCCATGAGCAGACAACATTGCATGACAGTAGACTTAGCATCCCTTAATGGGCTATTATCATGGAAGTACACTGTATATTGTTTCATCGTGTTTAGAGGAGAAGATCTGCCTTTAAAAGGTGCATTTGCAATATATCAACTGTGCGAGGGGTTAAGATAAAGTTTTCTGCACCTGTGTGTGACCTTTATCATGTAGGATTGCAGAGACAGCTCCGGGTGTGGCCTATCCAGAGTTTATATTTCACCTGTTCGAGTCTCGTTTTACCTTTAATTAATGAGATTCTAAGGTCATTATAGCTGTTAGTAGTTAGATTAGTGTATCATGCTTCAGAAAGTTTCTTAAAATTTTTTTTTTAGATTAGTTATTGGCTCTATAAATATCTTATGAATATTCATTAAATGTTATAAATGTTATTAAGCAATTGTTGTTTTAATTTAGATAAAAATCAGACTAAACCCGACAATAATGAAATTATGAATTTCAAAGCCATCATCAAACCATTAATTTGTGCTGATTTTGGAATATTTATTTCATTAGAGGTCAGCATTTTGGACAGTTTTTAATCCTTCGGGGTTTGAAACTGGTGTCCGATGAGTTAGATCAGAAACATAAAATACTCCATCAGTATGTTGCATAACTTCAACGTTTTATGTTTTCAGGACAATGTAACCAGGGATCCTGTTTTAATGGTGGACGGTGTCGAGGAGGGTACAGTCAAATGTGTACTTGTCCAAGTGGATTTCAAGGTCCTCGATGTCAATATGGTGAGTACTTTGTGGTCAGTTCTGTACAAGTCTCAGTTTTCTGAAGTGTTAACTTCCGAGAGAGACAGTGTTTTTCTCTGGATATCTTTGTAATTTTGATGTTATGCAATATATATTTTTTACAACCAATCACATTGCAACAATTTCTATAGATCTGTCAAGGATAGATTTATCGAAAATTGAAGCTTTCAGCCTTAAATTTATATTATTATGATCCTACCTTAACTCCAGTAAGATTTAAGTAAAAACCAAATGAGATATATGAAAAGCCACCTGCTAAGCTTAGCGTGTGTCTTATCTCCAGACACCCTTCAGTCCCTACAGACTCTGCTGTCAGGAAGTTATCACTCGGCCACACTGCCCTGTATATAACACTTGTTGATATATTTAAAGGGGCAGCTTCTGTATGGCAGTGTTACTTATGACCTACATATAGGGTCCCACAGGTAAATGCATACATATGACTCAATCTGTTTATAAAGAAAAAGATTAAACGTATCGCAGACACAACAAACTTACCTTATCAAATGGCTATAGATGGGGGACGAGAGGAAATGGGGGATGATGGGGGAGGGAAATATATCTTAGGGGTTCTTGGGGCTGTGGATGACTGGCATTGGCAGAGTTGTATCTAGGGGAAGAGAGGGGAGGACTCCCCAATATATCTAAGGGCTGCGGAGGTGATGAGAAGGTATGATTGGGATGTATCTAGGGGCTTTAGGGGCTGTATATGAGTTGAGAATGGATAATTGGATGTATCTAGGGGCTTTAGGGGCTGTGGATAGGGGAGGAGAGGGCATATATACCAAAATAAATGTGACAAAGTAGTATCTATTGGCTAATAATGTGAGGTAGAGGGGATAATTGAGATATATCTAGGGGACTTTAGCGGCTGTAGATGAGATGAGAGGGGATGATTGAGATGTATTTGGGGGCTTAAGGGGCATGAGATGAGAGGGGATAATTGAGATGTATTTGGGGGCTTTAGCGGCTGTAGATGAGATGAGAGGGGATGATTGAGATGTATTTGGGGGCTTTAGCGGCTGTAGATGAGATGAGAGGGGATGATTGAGATGTATTTGGGGGCTTTAGGGGCAGTAGATGAGATGAGAGGGGATAATTGAGATGTATTTGGAGGCTTTAGGGGCTGTAGATAAGATGAGAGGGGATAATTGGATGTATCTAGGGATTCAGGGGCTGTGGATGAGATAAGACAAGATAATTGAGATGTATTTAGGAGTTGTAGGTAAGAAGAGAGAGACTTTATATCTAAGGGCTCTAGATGGGAGAGGATAATAACTGCAGTTTGTCTAGTGGCTTGGTTTGGGGAAGAGAGGAGGTGACTGAGTTGTATCTTGGGGCTGTGAATAGGTGAGAAAAGGGGAATTACTGACTTTTATCTCGGGGCTGTGAATGAGAGAGAAAAGGGGAAATACTGACATATCTTGGGGCTGTAGATGGGAGAGGAGAGGTGAATTACTGACTTATATCTAGGGGCTGTAGATGGGACAGGAGAGGGGAATTACTGACTTATATCTAGGGGCTGTAGATGGGAGAGGAGAGGGGAATTACTGACTTATATAGGTGCTGGGAATTTGAGTGGAGAGAGCAATGACTAGGGAATTGAGGAAAGAGTCAGGACTAAGTTGTGTTTAGGGGGCTGCGTTAGGGAAGCACATGAAGATTTAGAGAATTATATCTTGGTGATGTGGAGCAGGAGGAAAGGGATAGGAGAGGACAATTCTATTTTTTCACAAGGCTGTAAACAAGAGGGGTGGTTCTCAAGTTACGAATATCTATAATCAATTTATGTGATTAAATCAATATAATAGCTGCTATCAACACATCTCGCAGGAATTTTAATCAGAATCTTGTCAATACAGAAGTCAATGTTGATCCTGAATGCTGGTGATATGAAGATGACTTAAATGGTTTACTGAATCTATTAGGAAGGTTTTATGTCTGTGAAATGTTATCACTCAATACTTTGTTAACTTTTTTTATATAACAGAAGAGTTTTTTTACATGAAATGAAGGAATCGTTTCTTATCTTGTTTACCAATTGAGTTGATCTAGGTTTGATAGATATACCTGCGGGCAAAATCTTGTAATATAGTTCAATTTCCACCATGTCCTTGCAATTTCAAATTGGTTCAGAAGTGAAAAAACATTAGAAGTTGTAAGATAATTTGAATACAATACCCACATCTTGGCTGTATTTTATTTTACCTCTTACAAGATTATGATAAGGAAGAAAAAAGTGGACGTTTTTTAACTTATAAATTTTTTTTTTTTTTTTGCGAATTGTAATTGATTTATTTAAACCAGATATTTTTCTTTGGTTGTTTTGGGTGGAAAATGAAGAAATTGATTTTTATAGTGAAGTCACAATTCTCACTCCTGTGCAGCTGTCTGCATTCAGCGATAATAGACATGCTCATCATTTTAAAATCTTTTTATTATATGTTAGATTTTTTCATTCTTATTTAGTGTATTTGTAATATTTCTTCTACTAAATATGCTTACTATTCTGGATCACCTGGTCTAAATTATCTTGCATTTTTTCGTTGTCTTTGTGTAAATCTTTCATTTGTTCACAAGTTGCCTTAGGTTCATTGAATTTGAGTTTGAATCATGATTATGCTCTTATCTTGATATTTTCTTGTTGTTTTTTGTAAATTTCATTTTATGGGTTATATTCAATAAACAGATTACACGATATCACTGTCATCATGTACATAGATATCGTCTTGTCTTGGAACCTTTTCAACAAGATCTTAGAGAAATATATCATTCCTATCAATATAAAATCTTTATTGTTGCATATTTGTAATTACATGAAATACAGGGCTTAAATTTATCAGCATAATGATGTATGTAGTGCATATCTCTATTGGATAGAAACAAATTTAGTTGGGTTTTTGTTACAGATGTGGCATTGTAATAAGAAGCATGCCAAAATGAACTCCTGGACGAAAATACCATTATAGTGAAGTGAACTGATCTTAATTTCACCATTATGATGAAATTAACCCCCACCCCAACCCCGCACGTTGTAAATTAAAGCCACATTAATTCTTGTTTTCAATTAATTTTTCATTGCTTTTTTGTTACTTCGCATATTATCAATAAAAAAACATAAGGGTAGGGCTTCACTTCATCATACTACGTCAGGCATGGAGTTATTGACGGAAATACTTATATATAGTGTGTAGTGTTGTAGGATGTTTCTTCAGTCACAATAAAATATTCTCTATATATTTCAATGTAAGGTTGTTTCATGTTGCTAAATTTTACTGGTAAGATGGAGATGATATTGTGTAGAAAATTTCGTGTAAATCAAATAAAAAAGATAGATAATGATGAAGATAAACCACATTTCTCTGTGTCGTGTTATTTACATAATATATTCTGCTAGACTACAGAATCATTATTACTCTATTGTACACATAAAACCTCGGGGTGTGATGGATTGGCGGATCGTGTTAGGAGTAACGGATTTCCAATATCCTTACCATATAAACAGTCCATTTGGAAATGATGATGAATATTATATTTGCGATCTTGTCGTGATCACATTATGCTGTCTTGAGGGAATGGCTTCGTGTACAGAATAAGAGATGTCATACATCATACACTGATTGTCACTTTGGTAATTTATAGAAAAACTATTAATTTTACATAAGTATTACTGTCTAGTCTGCTCTACAATATAAACATGTCTGACGTTAATTAAGTCCTTAGATTATAAGAAGATATGAAACATGAGTTTTTTTTAAGAATTAGTAATCTTTCTCATTAGTTTGTGGTGATTTACTGTGAAGAATAGTATTTCACTATGCAGTGCCTTTCACATGGTACGGGTATCTCAACCTGAGGGAAAAGATTTTTAGGTTGCAACACTAAAGGCTTGAAGAGCTTCTTTATCTCATCAGCAAAGGGGTGATTGATTAAATTTTGTACTCTTCTGGCCTTCTGATACGTTGTAAGGTGATCATTATCATCCCAATGCCTTCAATTGTTGATCTAAAATTTGTAAAAATTTTTGATGTGACATTATTGAATTGTTGTAACTTCATATGATTGTCATGACAGGGGAATCCCCCATTCTCCACTCGAGGGCATTGACACTTAGAAAATTTCACACCTGAAATAGCATAGATTATTAAACCAGTTTAGATACCGAAAATTAAAAATAAAGAGTTATATATATCTTTTGTATAAATTATTGAAGCTAATTTCCATAAAATCAACGTTGCAATGTGAGTCTTTATATCTCATTACTAACATATATGTGTTAGTTGTTTGTTAGTCAGCCACACTGACTGATAAAGATATAAAAATTGTCAGTTAGATACTAAATGAACTGACCAATTAAATAACAAGTGACCGACATTTTCAGTTCATCATTCTGTGTGTGGAAAGATGAGAAGTTCTGATCACTACTATAGATCTGAAATATAGGATAAAGTTTTTTATTTAACATCCAGTATCAAATTCAACCACGTCGTCTCAACTCCTACTCAAAACTTTTAGGGAGATAATGTATTTCCTGTGATTGTCTTCTGTCTTACCTAGAGTTCTTGGTCTTGTAAGATATATAGAAAACTGCGGTCGATGACATTACAAATTGTGAGATATCAAATTTGTATGGTGAAGATCTATTTTCCACGTCACCTGATATTCACAGCACATTTGTTTCAGTAGGTCTAAAGCAAACAGACATTTTACTTTATTTTTTTCAGACTTTTAACATTTAGAAGTATGCTGCCATTCTATCCATTTAAGAAATCCCACCCTTTCCTGTTATTTGATAAGGTGTGTTTTGGTGTGATGTGATAAGAGTCTATATCAGGTGTACCATATTATACCTAAAGTAAAACCATGATCAGCTAACATATTTATCCCGCAATATAAACCCTGGGGACCTTAACTGATTATCTTCGACTCAAAGTCTTTAGGGACACACTTTTTATAAACTACCTGATATTGACATTATA